CTTCAGGACTGAGAAATAGAATACCCCTCTTCTTCGGAGTTGGTTTAGGAATAGGCTCAGGAATTGGCTCCGAGGTGTCCAATTATTTTCATTTGTCAACATATTATTCAATATAATTTCAGCTTCATCTGGCGTTCTTTCCCTGAAAACAGAACCAACACAACTATCTAGGTAATCTCTGGAGGCATCAGTTAGTCCATTATAAAAGATAACAGGTATTTCATTTTTCTTAAGAGGATGATCAGGCAAAGTATTAAGTAATTGGAGAAGCCTCCCCCAAGCTTGTGGGAGACTCTCTTCTTCAATTTGCACAAAATTATATATATCCCTTAAAGCAGCTTGTTTCTTATGAGCAGTGAAATATTTAGCAGAGAAGTAATAAATCATATCCTGGGGACTAAGCACACAACCAGGATCAAGAGAATTAAACCATATCTTAGCATCACCCTTTAATGAGAACGAAAATATTTTAAGGATGTAAAATTAACGAGTTCTCTCATCTTTAGTGAACAGGGTGGCTATATCATTCAGTTTAGTAAGATGTGCCACAACAGTTTCAGATTCATAACCATAAAAAGGATCAGATTCAACCAAAGTAATTATATCAGGATCAATAGAGAATTCATAATCCTTATCAGTAACAAAGATAGGTGAAGTAGCAAAAGCAGGGTCAGGTTTCATTCTAGCATTTAGGGATTGCTTATTCCATTTAGCTAATAACCTAAGTTCATAACTATCTTTGCAAGCTAAAATAGCTAAAGAAGCTTCTTGATCAAAAACATAACCCTCAGGAATAACAAGTGATTCTTCGTCATCACTTTCATCAGTATTATCAGATTCAATATTTTCAATCTCTCTAGCCCTAGCAATTTGTTCATCAAGAAAATCACTAAGTGGCACAGTAGTATCAGACATAGAGGTAGTTTCATCATAAGTATCATGCATAGCAGAAGTGGCATCATCAATAACATGCGACATATCAGAACGAACAACAGAAGCAGGTGTAGGTGTCGCAAGCTTACTCAAAACAGAAGGTGAATCAAGTGCAGAGCTAGATGGCAGTTCCTTACCTCCCCTCGTAGTTGAGGGATAGATCTTGGTTTTTGGATCTCTCAAGTTCTTCATAATGATAAGCCAATATATATCCCAAGTGACTCATAGAATAGAGCTATGCTCCCCGGCAACGGCGCCAGAAAATAGTCTTGATAACCCACAAGTATAGGGGATCGCAACAGTTTTCGAGGGTAAAGTATTCAACCCAAATTTATTGATTCGACACAAGGGGAGCCAAAGAATACTCTCAAGTATTAGCAGCTGAGTTGTCAATTCAGCCACACCTGGAAACTTAATATCTGCAGCAAAGTGTTTAGTAGCAAAGTAATATGATAGTAGTGATAACGGTAGCAAAAGGTAACAGTAGAAAAGCAATGTTTTTGGTATTTTGTAGTGATGATAGCAATAGCAACAGGAAAGTAAATAAGCGAAGAACAATATATGGAAAGCCCGTAGGCAATGGATCAGTGGCGGAGAATTATGCCGGATGCGGTTCATCATGTAACAGTCATAACCTAGGGTGACACAGAACTAGCTCCAGTTCATTGATATAATGTAGGCATGTATTCCGAATATAGTCATACATGCTTATGGAAAAGAACTTGCATGACATCTTTTGTCCTACCCTCCCGTGGCAGCGGGGTCCTTACGGAAACTAAGAGATATTAAGGCCTCCTTTTAGTAGACAATCGGAACAAAGCATTAACACATAGTGAATACATGAACTCCTCAAACTACGGTCATCACCGGTAAATATCCCGATTATTGTCACTTCGGGGTTAACGGATCATAACACATAATAGGTGACTATAGACTTGCAAGATAGGATCAAGAACTCTCATATATTGATGAAAACATAATAGGTTCAAATCTGAAATCATGGCACTCGGGCCCTAGTGACAAGCATTAAGCATAGCAAAGTCATAGCAACATCAATCTCAGAACATAGTGGACACTAGGGATCAAACCCTAACAAAACTAACTCGATTACATGATAGATCCCATACAACCCATCACCGTCCAACAAGCCTACGATGGAATTACTCACGCTCTGCGGTGAGCATCATGAAATTGGTGATGGAGGATGGTTGATGATGACGATGGCGATGGATTCCCCTCTCCGGAGCCTCGAACGGACTCCGGATCAGCCCTCCCGAGAGGTTTTAGGGCTTGGCGGCGGCTCCGTATCATAAAACGCGAAAAGGGGGCCCACGAGGCAGGGGGCACGCCCCCACCCTAGTGGACATGTGGTAGGCCCCCTGGCCTTCATCTTTGGCAGGTATTTTTCTTATTTTCTGAAAAGTAGCTCCGTAAAGTTTCAGGTCATTCCGAGAACGTTTGTTCCTGCACATAAATAACACCATGGTAATTCTGCTGAAAACAACATCAGTCCGGGTTAGTTCCATTCAAATCATGCAAGTTAGAGTCCAAAACAAGGGAAAAAGTGTTTGGAAAAGTAGATACAACGGAGACGTATCAAGGGCCGACCAGAGGTGCCCCCCCTTGCCCAGTCTGAATTGGACAAGGGGAGGGGGCGGCGCCCCCCTCCTTCCTTCTCTTCTCTTCCTCCTTCCCTTCTTCTCCTACTTGGACTAGGAAAGGGGGGGGGTCGAATCCTACTTGGACCGGGAGTCCAAGTAGGACTCCCCCCATGGCGCGTCCCTCTTGGGCCGTCCACCTCTCCTCCCCCCTTTATATACGTGGGAGGGGGGCACTCCAATGGCACACCAAGTCTTCTCTTAGCCGTGTGCGATGCCCCCCTTCACAGTTACACACCTCGGTCATCTGGTTGTAGTGCTTAGGCGAAGCCCTGCGCCGGTAACTTCATCATCACCGTCATCACGCCGCCGTGCTGACGGAACTCTCCCTCATCCTCAACTGGATCAAGAGATCAAGGGACACCATCGAGCTGAACATGTGCTGAACACGGAGGTGCCGTACGTTCGGTACTTGGATCGGTTGGATCATGAAGACGTTCGACTACATCAACCGCGTTACTAAATGCTTCCGCTTTCGATCTACGAGGGTACGTGGACACACTCTCTCCTCTCATTGCTATGCTTCTCCTAGATAGATCTTGCGTGATAATAGGAATTTTTTTGAAATACTACATTCCCCCAACAAGACAATGGAGGGTCAACAAGTTCAACAAGCCACAAAACTTACGAGTTGTTGGCTTGTTCTGCCACCTGCCACCAGGGATTTCACTTGATTGTAGAGGCCGCAAGATTGTTTGACTTGCTCTTGAATGGTGTACCGTAGATTGGCGAGCGACTTTCATTGTGTTGATGGATCACTTCCTTATGGTAGGGATCATAGTGCTTTTGCTTGTGGAACCAAACATGCACACTATGCCTCACATAGCAATTCATCCTCCTTGTTGCGTTCCGTGAACACAGCCTCACGGGCGACCACCACCACCAGGTCCTCCGACTTTGGCGGGATAACGATCATCTCCGTTAGGTTCATCCAATGATGGCTCCATCGTGGCGGTGGACGGCGGAACAAGTCGGAACGATGGGGGAGGCGACAATTGGGGTAGAGACAGTGGGAAAGGTCGCTGACATGCCACAACATGTTCGATGATGCTTCCGAGGGCGACTATGTAGGGAGAAGAGCATGCCGTGAGCAAGCGAGGGGTGACCGATGAGCAGCATCACCTGCTTCTGCGAAGGACGACGTCATGCTGCGACGCAATTGGCGATGCTATCGGTGATGTTGCAAAGTAGTGCTGCCAGCGATCAACGATACCACCGGAGATGATAGTCCACGAGCTGCGGGTTGGCGAGATGCTGCATTTGTGTGATGCTGGGAGAAGCGAAGCAATATGCAGTCCATCTGATGTGTTGCCAATTGGACGGCCGATGAACTTCTTGGCAACATGAATCATTGAAGCTTTGAGGGGAATGTCGGTGGTGATGCAAGGGACCATCAGAGCTTGAGGCGTCATGCAATGTTGGCAATGATGGATGCTACGAACTGGCTACAAGGTGCAAAGCGATGGTCAACGCTGCGACGATGGTGGCGGCTGCCTGCTAGCATGGACGTGTACTTGTGCAAGTCGACGATCAACACTGTGACAGGAGGAGACGAATAAGGGTGTTTCTTGTGCAAGCTACAAGCGAACGGAAGACGATCAGAGGGTCACACACTGCCTTATTGAACGGCTGTAGAGGCGGTTTATGTTTTCGCTACTATAGTCGGTTGGCGCATAGCACTGGCCATACTTAATCGCCAACTGATTCATGCCGGATGTGACGCCTAGCGTGTCATTAAATTAAGAAGGAAAAGACATTTTTCACATATTTCGGGCTGGGCTGGGCCGGGCCTGGCCAGGCTTTGACATTTCCAGATCAGACTTGTCCGAGCCAAGAATTATCATCAGGCCTAGCCCAAACAAGGCACTTTGGCAGCGACCGCTGCTACCTGCAAACTGCAACACTGGCTAGAGCTCAGAATTCATGGACGTTAGGCCAGCGGCGAGCGGCACCAAGCGCGTTATGGCACTGCAAACTCGCAAGGATTTTCATGGAGAGGCAGGTGAGCCTCCTCTGACGCCCAGCCAGAGCCAGTGAGATGCGCATTGAAGACGACGACGGGCGCAGGAGGCAGGCATCTCACGTTGGCGCCCACAGCTACAGGCAACAAGAGTTGCTGAGGAGCATTGAATGCGGCCGCGTCACCACCATTAGCGGCGTCCGTCCCCATCTACCTCCAGGACGGGGCGCCCATGTCCTCTCGCCATTAATGGCGCCCCAACGCTATAAATGGCGAGATAAACATCCATTCACCCCCACTCACTCTCTCGCTCGCTCGCTCACGCACACACGCCCGCCCGCCCGCGCGCATTAAACTCCGAGATGCCCATCCCGTCCCGTGCACCAGTGCTTGCAGCTGCAGGAGCGAGCTAGCTAGGTGGTAGCTGCTGCCGAGATTTGGCCGCGGCAATGGGGATCTGCTGCAGCAGGGAAGGAGGGGGGAGGGAGCTCGAGGAGACGGAGGGGTGGTTCCCGTGGAAGCACGACGACTTCTTGCAGGAGCAGCTCGCCGGCGCCGCTGGGGTGTCCATGCACACCAAGCAAGGCTGGAAGGGCGTCAACCAGGACGCCATGGCCGCCTGCCAGGTAAGGTCAAGCTTTCCTTTCCTTCCCTCCCCTCCCCTTCCTTGTAGCCATGGAGACATGTTCTTTTCTTCACTGCAAGTTGAATCGGCAGCTTTTTGCAGTAGTACTAGGTCCATCTCTGCTAGCTTCGCTCAAACTGAAAACCTCTGGAACCTGCACTACACCTGAGATACTGTAATCACCATGCGTGTACCTCACCATCTTGATTGCTCACCATTGCCCTGGATTACATAGATCTCCTATGTAGTACGTACTCCACTTACTCTCATGACATATTTATTGCTCACCAGTGTACTAATAGCAGCATGAATGCAGCATTAGCAACTGAAATCCGTGGCAGATAGTAGTATCAGCATGGCCTAGCTGCTAGATTAAGTGCAAAATTTACTTGAGACATAAGATAATCTTGATGTGACAAGATGATCAGGACTTCGCCGGGCACAAGGGCCAGATCTTCTGCGGGGTGTTCGACGGGCACGGGCCCCTCGGCCGGGACGTCGCCCGGCATGTCCGGGACTCCCTTCCCAAGAAGCTGTCCGCCTCCCTGGCACCGAGCACTGAGGACGACGCCCCCTCCAGCAACAGCAACGCGGACGTGGACTCGTTCGACAAGTCGGATTGCACCTCGTCCAGCGACGCCAGCGACGAGAACCAGCTGCTGTCCTCGTGGAAGAGCTTGATCGTGAAGGCGTTCGAGGACGTCGACGAGGAGCTGAGGCAGCACTCCGGGATCGACTGCCTTTGCAGTGGCACCACTGCTGTCACCGTCGTTAGGCAGGTAGATAGTAGATGGTTTTAAATTTCAGTTTCAGAAATATTTCAGCACCTACCGAAATTACCGAATTTCAGTGGTTCCAGTTTGCATTTCGGCCGAAGGATTTTTTTTGAAAATTTCGATTGTTGCTATATATTTTTTGTATACAGGGTGATCACTTGATCATTGCCAATTTAGGCGATTCGCGCGCTGTTCTTTGCACGCGGGACAGCAAGGGCCGCCCGGTTTCGGTGCAAATCACCACCGACTTGAAGCCAGATCTTCCTGGTCAGCCTCTGAATTTCTCATGTCATACTTGCCTGTAGGTGGTATGTACACTTGTTAACTGCAACTTGCAATGTATTCTCTGGACTTGTCGTAGGTGAGGCTGAGAGGATCCTGATCTGCAAGGGGAGAATTTTCGCCATGGACGATGAGCCCGACGTGCCTAGGCTGTGGTTGCCGGACCAGGACGCGCCAGGCCTCGCCATGGCGAGGGCTTTCGGAGACTTCTGCCTCAAGAACCATGGGCTCATCTGCACACCCGAAGTGTACTACAGGAAGCTCTCTGAAAAGGATGACTTCTTGGTGCTCGCCACTGATGGGGTAACAAGAGTGGATTTCTTTCCGGATTTTCCCTCTAGTTTCATGTCCATTAGTACATTCCAATCACGCTCCAACTTCCTTCAATTAAGAACAGTTTCTGCTGGTACTATTGCAACTGAAATTAAGATAACATAAATCAAATCCTTTATGATCAGGTTGACATCAAGCAACTGTTAACTGAAGTAGACTCGTCTCTGTATCTTCTTATCTAACCACACAGTGTTGCAGATATGGGACGTGCTGTCCAACAAGGAGGTGGTCAAGATCGTCTCGTCGGTCTCCGACCGCTCAAAGGCGGCAAAGCAGCTCGTGGACCGGGCGGTTCGTGCGTGGCGCCGGAAGTTCCCGACGTCGATGGTCGATGATTGCGCGGCCGTCTGCCTCTTCCTGAAGCCAGCAGCCATTTCATCTGAAGAAGGCAGCACGACCAAGCCGCCTCAGACACCCGTGCTGTCGTTCACCGGAAGTTTCCGCAAGGCTCTGGGCGGCGGTGAGGCGGAGGAGGGGACGGCGGTGTGGAGGGCGCTGGAGGGGGTGGCTCGGGTGAACTCGGTGATCCGGCTTCCCAGGATGCTGAGCCGGCGGTGGCGGTCGGCGTCCATGGATGAGAACAACGACCAAGAATCATCCAAGGCTGATTGACTGATCGATTCATGCTCATGCATTGCCAAACTTAAAAAAGGATAATATTTTAGAACTTGATTGATAGTACTCCTAGTTTCATACGCCGTGTTCACGCATTCAGGGTGTTGAGAGTGGACATTAATTCGGTTGGCATGTACGCTTGCTGGGTTTGGTGTGTGTTGTGGTACCAAATGGACAAGAGAACCCAAAGTTTGTAATGGATTCAGCTTTTTTATATCTCAAAACAATGAATTGGCGCCAGTTTTTCCTTTCCGAATGATTTGAAGATGGTTGACTGCGCCTGCCCCCATGGTACTCCCTCCGATTTCATAATGTGTGCATATAGATTTTCTGAAAAGTCAAACCTTACAAAGTTTGACCCAGTTTATGGAGAAAACTATTTATATCTATAATATCAAATATGTACAATAGTGAAGTACGTCTTGTGATGTATCTAGGGATATGTATTTGGTATTCTAAATGTATATGCTTCTTTTACAAATTTGGTCAAAATTTGTAAAGTTTGACTTCTCGAAAAAATAATTCTATATGCACTACATTGTGAAACAGAAAGAGTGTGAACTACTCCCTTAGCGGCTCAATGTCTTACATTATGGGAGGGAGGGAGTAGAAGTGAAAGGGCTTGACAGAATTCGGGCACCGAAGCACTTGCCATGGCGCTCTTGAGAAGATCGAAGGTCATCTGAGCTTGCGCGGTCCTCTCGAGTCGTTTCTTCGTCAAGAGATTTGCCAGTGGCATGCTAATGACACCACTCCACAAACTTTCTGTAGTAGCCTGTGAGGCCGAGAAAGGTGCACAACTCTATTGACATGGATGGCGTTGGCCAGTTGAGCATGGCATATGCCTTCTCTGCGTCCATAGCGACACCGTCGCGAGATGACGTGACCGAGGTAGCCGATGTTGTCCTTGGAGAACAACACTTGGACATTTTGGCGTAAAGATGATTTTAACGGAGTAGCTCGAACACCGCTAGTAGATGCTCCTCATGTTCCTGCAACATGGTGCTATACACCAAGATGTCATCCAGAAAAATGATCACGAATTTACGCACGTACTCGTGGCTGGCATGTTCGTCAGGCTGAGGGCATGACCCAAAAATGAAAGTGGCAGTGGTGAGTTTTAAACGCCGCCTTCTCCGTGTCGCTCTCCCACATGTGGATCTGATGGTAGCTCGCTCGCAAGTCCAACTTAGAGAAGTCAGTGGCACCGAGGAGCTCGTCCACAATCGGTAGTGGAAATCTGTTGTTCACGACGATGTCATTGAGACAACACTAGTCGATGTAGAATTGCGAAGATCCGTCCTTTTTCTTGACTTGGAGGACTAATGGGGCAAATGGACTCATGTTGTGAGATATCATCATAGACTGCCACATATCTCAGACTTGCTGTTCGATCTTGTCCTTTTGCAAGGGCGAGTAGCGGTAAGGTCTTGTGTTTTCTAGTTGCGCACCATTGACCAACGTGATTGTGTGGCCGTACTATCGATGTGGAGGCAGGTCCTTGAGCTCTCCAAACACGTTGTTGTCACCGAGTGATGTCTACTGGGCAACCTTCTTCTTGCAGGCTCTGTTGGGTCTCCAAGCGCAGAATTTGTAGGATAATAGCAAATTTTCCTTAAGTGGATGACCTAAGATTTATCAATCCGTAGGAGGTGTAGGAAGAAGATGACCTTTCTTAAACAACACTGCAATCAAATACAAGAAATCTCTTATGACCCCAACACACCCAATACAATGACAAATTATATAGATGCGAAGAGATGGTGATACAAGTATAGTATGAATAGTAAAAATATATTTTTATAATCTGAATAAATAAAAATAGCAGGATAGAACATAACAAAAGTGAGCACAAACGGTATTGCAATGCTTAAAAACAAGACCTATGCTTCATACTTTCACTAGTGCAATCTCTTAACAGTGCTAACATAATTGAATCGTATAACAATCCCTCACGTGCGACAAAGAATCACTCCAAAGTTTCTACGGAGAACGGAGGATGAAAACATGTATCAACCTGTGTGCCTAGAAGATCCAATGTCATCACGGGAATCCGCAAACTGATTACCAAAACATATATCAAGTGACTCAATATAATACCCCATTGTCACCATATATGCAGGATATACATCAAGTGTTCTCAAATCCAAAATATTCAATCCAACATGACGAAACCTCAAAGAGCAAGAGTCAATTCACCACAACAAAATAGAGAGAAGAACACCATATGATCCAACTCTACTAACAAAGCTCCTAACAAAGCTCGTGGTACATCGAGATTGTGCCAGATCAAGAACACGAGAGAGACAGAGATCAAACCAACGATTACGAGTCGAACAACTAGTCTAGTCGCTCGACTAGTCTACGAGTCATAGAGTGGATGTCGACTCATTTTCTCGTGTAGACTACAAATACAGTCGAGTCGTGGATGGACTAGTCGACGACTAGTTTGGACTAGTCGACATATATGAGTCGAGCGACTCAAAAAAGAGAGCTGCCTTAGCTGGGACGAGGCGCCGCCAGCACCCACTGCCCTGCCACCGCCACCGCCACCCACTGCCGAGACGACGGATGGCGCAGCCAGGTGCGGTGGCCAGCCGGAGCTCATGCTCAGGCGGCGGCCATGGCCGTGACCCGTAGGGGCGCGCGGCCTTAAGACGAGAGAGAAGGAAGAGAGAGAGAGAGAGAGGAGAGGAAAGGTGGCATGGCGGTGGTCGGCGGGCTCGCCGGCAGCAACGACTGGGACCGGCGGAAGGCAGCAGGAGGCGCGGGTCGCGTGCGCGCATGCTCCCGTGCGTGATGGCGCTAGCGGCGGCGATTGGAGAGGTCGGGAGCTAGGGTTCCAATGGCTGGGGGCTAAGTAGGTTGGCCATTTGGGCCCAAATGGGCCAGCTGGGAGTGCTGCGTGGTGCTAGGCTAGTATTTAGACAGTGGCTAGTCCTATTGCATGCCCACTTGGGCCCAGGACACTACATAGCTCAATTATTTAGACAGTGGCTGGTTTTATTGCATACTGTACTGTTAGTATATACTACATATTGTACTGTACCATGTTGACTAGTCTAGATTAGTCTATGAGTCTCTACCTTGGGACGACTCGTCGACTCGTAAACCTTGGATCAAATACATATCTACTGATACATACCCTCAGTCCCGAGGATGAATTACTCCCTCATCGTCATAGAGACCGCCGGGATGATGAAGATGGCCTGAAAAATTATTTGGCCTGAGATAAGTCATCCCTCCTTATCCATGAAAATTTATCTCCGGCGAGAACATGCCATCTCTAATCCGCTTAACAACCACTTCTTGCTCCTCCTTGCGTGGAAATCTCGAAAGACGAGGTGCCTCAAGGGCGCCACAATCAGCACACTGCTCATCATCTCTCAATACTATCTTTTGCAAGTTGGGAGATCGCTCCAACATGGACCTTATAAATGTAAACTGTTGTTCTAGCGATTTAAATCCAGCGAATTCTAGCTCTTTCAGAAACTTGTTCTCGGAGCTGCTATCCAAGTGCATTTCCCACTTTGGACTCCTGTCAAGGTAGGAAGCGGGTCTGGCCTCGCCCAAATCGCATGTATGTTCCCATACCTGTATTTGTGTGAGCAATTCATTAGAATTGTCATAGGAATCAAGTTCTAAATAATTTTCTGCTAAAATTTGTGAAAAACTAAAGCTCCAAGTGTGGGCAAGGAAAGAAACATAGACAAAGACATCACCTCAATATGTAACATTTCGACAGATGGTGCTGCTACAAGAAAGGCCGTTGTCCATAAAATGTCAAATTCAACAAATATACAACGTACGTACAGCTTCCTTAGCTTGCTGAATGCGGTGCGGAGTTCCTCCATTTCAGGTTGCAACCAAAGCTGATCACAACATTAATTAATCAAATAAACAAACAAAACAAGAATTGATAGTCTGCAAGCACATAGATGAGATCATCAAAGAATTTACAGCTATGTATGTTCTCTATCATACATAACACATCCATGATATAACTTTCATATATATGACGACATGATGAAACCAAATAAAGTAGTAGTAGTACTTACGGCTTCACCTTGGAAATCCAATGAGAGAGTATGTATGCTTGTTACTCCATGTAGAAGCTCACTTAATTTAAATATGTCTTCCTCACAAACTGAACCACATGAGAGTTCTAATTGCCCAAGTGATGGGACAAAACCAAAGGTCAATGGGGCACACTGAGATATCCAAGACTCACAAAAGAACTTCTCCAATTTGGGGAGGCAGACAAGGTCGATTCTCAGAAAGCGACACTTCTCAATTTCAAGAACACAGAGTTTTGAGTCTGGCGCATCAATCTTAAAGACAGAGTAGGAACCAGTATCACAATGATAAAGGGTTAGATGCTTAAGTTGCTTGCAGCAGTCAAACAGGACATGGTGCATGTCCAATTTGTCAAAGCCTACATTTTTTAGAAAGAGCTTTGTGAGGTAGTGGAGCACACTAGGGTAGGTAGTGAAAAAAACATCTATGTCTTGAGCTCGCTGTTGCATCTCTTCGTCTCTACGGTCCAGAGTCTTTGTCTCATCAAGAATGCCGAGATCTAAATCTTTCAACAAACCACTGTCGATTGCATCACCTAACAGTGGGCCAACTTCGCAAAGGAAAGTGTTGATCAAATAGAGGTTAAGGCGCAAACTTGAGATAGTGGATCCTCTCTGTTGTTTATCTAACAAACTCCTGGTTGCTTTGGACAAAGACACCATGGCTTGTTCCATATCATTTGCCTCAACAAGGTCAGCGTATGGAGCGGATAGGAAATCCTGGACATCGATGCTGAGTTCAGGCAGCAACCAAGGCAGATGCCTCCACCGTGTAGAGAGCACACTTGTCCTTGTAGCCACAAGTGAACTGACTCTCCCCAAGATGGACAGTAAAATATCATCAGTTAGAGCGCTGAGTCTATCTTCGTTGTCCAGTTGCTGCAACATAAATCAAGCATCCATTATTTAGCTGCCATAAATTTATTCAGAAATACCAAACAGAGAATAGTTACACATGGTGACAGGAACTAAAATCTCTCTAGCGTGAAAATTGCTTGATTATCTCTACTACTACAGCATACCAACTCTGGAACTTTGAATTCAAGATGGAAACAACACTACAGTGTGTTGATTAGTAACGATCTGACCGCTAAATTTGCCGCTACAGTACCATGTAGTCTGCCGTGTATGGTTCTAGGTAAAACCTCAGTGGCCATATAAAGAAATCCTGCTAATTATCGCCCTCTGATACTTGCAAACTTTATTATGAAAAGTATGCATCAATCCACGCAATTGTCGAAAAGCATTAAGAGAATGGATGCAGGAGTTGTGCAAAAGAAGAAAATAAAAATCATTCCCATCACTGCCATACAGGAGATGTAAACTAAAGTTTTGTATCGTCAGAACAAAGAGAGACATCTCTTTACATCGGCATGTTTTTTTTTGTCGTCATTGCTTTTTGTTCTCCTTCCTATATGATCAATTAAATGTTCCAATAGTAAAAATATGGCCAGGTTCATAGTTTTACATGTTGAAGTGGGCAAAAGCAAAACAAAGTCATGGCGGCGCAGCGAAACTTTGAACCCAAATCTGGCTACAATTTTTGACTAATTCTTCACTCTGTCAAAACCACCTAAATTATAGGTAATTTGGCTCATAACACGCAAGAAAAACAACTTAAAAAGCAAAACATTCAACATTTACATTGCATGCTACATACAATAACCCTCAAGAGCTTATAGTGTTACATTAATATAAGAACACAAATATGAACAGAGAGGCATGGCGATCAAGACGAGAGGGGACTTACTTGGCTGTGGGAACTGTCGTTGTGATCCCTGTTATTCCCCTCCATTGGCGACGTGGGAAGCTGCATTTCGGTGGTTCGGTCGAAGTGGTATATCGCAGCTCCGGCGAAGAAACCCGACAAGGCTTGGAATGAATGTTTCAGGCGACCGTGGAGGCTCTCGACTATTGGAGGCCAATCCTCATCCTTGTTCTGCCACTATTTATAATAACTTAGCGCTGCGCCGGGGTAGCAAAGCCCCCTCCCAGTCGGACTGCAGCTACACGAGCTTGCCGATTATTACTCTTACTAGATGACCTGGTTGCGCCAAATGGCGCAAGAAGCGAATTAGAAGCGATGATGGTAGTGAGTAGTCCTGGCCATGGGCAGCCCGGCCCGGTCGGCCCGACCCGACCCGGGCTGACCTTGTCCATGGGCTGGGCTTGGGCCTAGGTTTTGAGCCCGAAGCACTGGCCAGGGCAGGCCCGGGCCCGTTGTTTTCGCCTTTAAGGAAGAGGCCCGGCCTGTGGCCCAAGGCCCGACGGGCTGGGCTCGGGCCCGACAGCAGGGCTAGGCTGAGCTCGGGCTTGGGTTTTTTGCATCGGACTTTGGTTGGCCCGACCCGACAGCCAGGCCTAGGTTTTTTGCGTCGGGCTTTGGTTGGCCCGGCCCGAGGGATGGCCAAGTATAGTAGTGAGTAAGTAGGAGATGTAGATGGAAGTTAATGGAATGTGGATTGTATTACAAATAGTGTATATTAATTAACGATCATATACAGAGCAATATAAATGGGAATTTCTTATCTATATTGGCCACAAAAGCACATACAGCTAATATTGTTAATGTAAGCTCTAGAACAGCTAATATTGCATTGGGAATAGCAGATACAGTAGGCGATTGAGTGAACAAATACTTACAGTAGATTGAAACAGTCATTCGAGAGAGAGGGTAAAGCAAAAGATCTCTAATAGCGTTATCCACGGAATATGGAAGTTGCTCCGTTCGGATTTAAACAGGGAAAAGTATGAAGGAGTTTTGGCTTGTCTTTATGACTGCCAAAACCGGGATTGCAAACATGCAAGTAACATAACAGTAGATTGTTTAAAAGGGTGTTGCCGGAAGACAGCGGTGGCCATGCAGCGTTCACTTGTTCTTGCGGGCTTGAAAGTAGCGAAGGAGAAGGTAGTAAAGGCCAAAACAACCTGAGGAAAAATACAAGAATATTCATAAGTTAAGAACTCAACATGGTACCGGAAAGTTTATAGGAGGAAAATTGCTACTGCAGCAAAGCTTATTATACATGTAGCATTGTAGCCTATCAGTTATTGGCAGAAGGCGTGGACATGAATACATGTATGAGCTGATTTGAGAGGCAGAAGATAAAAGTGAAGCAGTGAAAAGATTATTAGTTGCGTGAGTAGACATACCACACATAGACGCTCATTTTGAAGCGCAGATTGCTTAGGGACCTATCATTGTTTTATGAAATGGTTGATGCAGCAGCAGCAGTAGTGGCAATCCTGAAATTATGAAGTTTTCAATAAAAGGCATACGTTAGTAATGCGTATTTATATTCTATATGAATATAAATAGAAGGCCAACAAGACAAAATAATGAATGTGAGGCAGCAAAATTCAGAAGCTGAATTATGTTGGGGTTGATAATAGCAAATTTGTTATGGTTCATTCGTCTATTCCCAATCTGGATAAATAGTCAATAGCGTTTTATGTCTCACTGTATAGATATAGTGTACCTGTTAAGCCTAGCTGGCTGAGCAACCGCCGCTTCCACGCTGTTGGCAGGTGCAGCAGTACAAGCATCTGGATCAACATCAGCAAGTGCAGGGGCCTGTGACAGGGATATGTTGATCACTGGGAATCATCAAAGGAAAAATCAACAACAATAAAAGAGAAAGCTGGTGTGGCCACCTGATCATCGTTCTTCTCCTGCCAAACAAGGATATGTGCATGGGGCACCCCCGTTTTCTGGAACTCCACGGTGTGGACAACTGCAAAGCAGCAGCAGGGTAAATGTAAAACAGGAAAAGTACGACATGTGGGTAAGAAACAATGAATTGGAGGAAGAAAAGGTACTGGGCATAGTACCAGCAAGCACTGTCCCAAACACTTGCCCAGTCCTGATTGTGTGCAGGTAGTCAAGTAGCTTCATCTGATGGATTTGAATGGTAATATCAGCTCCATCGACTGCTTTTTGCCCATGTTCAAGGGTCTCAATTCTCTCAGGCCACTCTGGATCACATGCAAAGGTTGTGAATATATCAGGCGAGCCATGGACTTGCGAAACAGCCACTGCATCATGGAAATCTTCAGTCATACAGCAAAGCCCACCCGCAAAAGATGACGGCATCATGTGCTTCTTAACAACCTCGGGTCCGCCAACCTTGTCAAGCCCAGAAGCATCAACAACAGGCTGGAGCCTTTTAATGCGCATGTCACCCTGAAGATTTTTAGAAAGGTTCTTAGCCGAAATGTGGGAAGATCACAAGGCTACAAAGCAAGTCATTTTGCTTGCAACAACAAGAATTGGATGTACATGCAAGAGGAAAGAAAGAAGAATGCATATTACTATGAAGGTAAAAGGTTGTTTTATCCAGGCTCTTATTAATTTGAACATAGCAGTCGTGGGAAACAAAGCTTGATCAAATAGCATCACACACATCAGTGAAGAAGAAACCATTTTTTAGATGTATAAAGAAGGATGTTTTTGTTTTCAAAGGACAAAAGACCCATCAGATTCTTAGACCAGAGGCTGATTTTATTGGTTAGACATCTAATCTACAATGCATTGGTGAGCAACAAAACAATAAACGAGCCTGACAAGGAATCTAGCCTACTGGATACTGAAACCTGACACTAATTTTCTTGGATAGCTAATGAACCTGCATATATATTGATCTATAGAACATCTAACCAACCTGACAGTGAACCTGCATTTAGTAGCTTCTTAAAAGGTATGAGCAAGCAAAAAACAAAAGTACTGGAACTTAGAACTGCACCAGGAAGAACCAAGCCAATCAATAATGTAACATCAAAACTCTATTTGTTTCTTAACAGGTAGAGTTCACCTTGTTCATCTTTATCAATCTCATTCTCAAAATTCTTCTTCTACTCTCCACAAGTAACCAGAATATGAGAATCAAAATTAGATTATCAGAAAACTGGAAAATCAAGGACGCAGATGGGCATCACAGATTGGAGAGGAGGAGGGAAGAAGCGAAGGTGAGGAGGAGGGGCACGGCTGCTACCGGCTTCAGAGGGTTGCTCGCCCCCACCCTTGCTTATGCTGTCGTGGCCCTGTCTAGGTCAATCGGAGAAGCTCAGGTGGTCGCCATCTCCCCAACCGACGAGCGTCCCCAGCTTCTCCCGCCTGCACGCACCTGCCCGGCCTTTCTCCTCCATCGCCGCCGGTCCGGTCGACATCTCACAGGCTGAGCCCGAGCAGGCCCGTCCCCCTCGACTTGTGGAGGCGGCGGGGATATTCCTCCCCAGACGCCCCCACTCTCTCCTCTTCCTCCTCCCCCGTCTCATCCACCCCTCCTCGCCCTGGATCCCGCCAAATCCGAGACTTGTGGGCGCGGAGGCGAGCTTCTCCGGCGGCAGCGGCGGCAGGAGAGGAGGCGGGGGTCGCGGGGGAGACGCGAGGGCTAGGTCACCGGCATCGGCGGCGAGCTTCTCCGGCGGCGGCGCAGGAGAGGGGGCGGGGGTCACGGGGGAGATGCGCGGGCCGGAGCTGGCCGGAACCGGCCGGCGCTACGGGGAGAGAGAGGGGTTAGCGAGAGAGAGAGAGAGAGAGGAGGAGGAGGCGACTGGGACGGGAGGCGGCGGCTAGGTCTTCTCCACGGGGGAGGCTGCCTTTTATACGCCTGGATGCGAAATTACGGAAACGCCCCTGGCGGGGCACGAAAATAACAGGCGGTGGCATGAGTACTGTTCATGGCGAATTAAAGGCGACGTGGCCACCTTGGTTGTGACTACGAACCCTTTCATCCTTTATAAGTTAGATTATTATTCTGACGAATTGGAAAGTTATTCGTACCCCAGAGGTGCAATCCAAGTGCTCCTGCTATTGATCCAGTCATATAAATAGATTGATAACTGCCACACGTGTTGGCGTTAAGGAATCTGCCCACACGTTCTGTGTGGTGCCTAAGAGGACCAGCCCACACGTCTGTGTGTGGGCAAAACAATTAGCGCCCACACGCCTCTTTTTTTCCCTCCCGGTCCCTCTTACACGCGTGCGTGTAGGCGAAATAGATAACTCCCACATGCGTGGTACGCCAGGCCTCGTACCTCGTGGTCCCGCATGCCCCACGTGACACGCGCGCCGCACAGTTTCCATGGGCCGGACCCTCGTCCATGTTCGTTTAAGTGCAGTTGCCATGTCGCTGAACTACGGTTGCCATGTCGGACAACTACAGTTGCCATGTTTGCTCAACTGCAGTTGCCATCTCAGGTCAAAGTTCCAGATTGCCATTTTTTGGACAACTACAGTTGTTGTCATGTGTGGTCTGGTCTACTGCAGTTTCCATGATTTCAAAACTTTAGGAGTTGCCACCTACTAACACTAGGCAGTTGTCATGTAGCGCTACAAAAAAAGGCATGGCAAAAAATATGATCGGGTAAAATAGAGAGTTGCCATGTGCTCACAAGCACGCTAGAGCAGTTGCCATTTAAAAAGAAAGAGTTGCCATCTGCTTACGTGCACGTTAGGGCAGTTTGCCATGTACCATGCAAAACATATGGCAACTGACATGTTCGGGTAAAAAAAAAGAGAGTTGCCATCTGCTTGCAATCATACTAGGGCAGTTGTCATGTACACTGCAAAACATACTAGGGCAGTTGCCATGTACACTAACATATGGCAACTGACATGTTCGGGTAAAAAAAAGAGTTGCCATCTGCTTGCAATCATACTAGGGCAGTTGCCATGTAAACTGCAAAACGCATGGCAACTAGCAGCTTAGGTGTTGGAGAGGAGGCGGGTGTGTGGGCGAGATGGCAAACGCCCACACACCAGCCCTTGTGCGTGACTGAAAACTGGTGTGTGGGCGAACTGCTAAACGCCCACAC